AATAGACTGAAACGGAGTAGGGCCTGCAGGCCCTCGTTTTTCAGCTTTCAGGCTGAAACGACCGGGGCCTGTAAGCCCTATGTTTTAGGCTTTTAGGCTGAATGTCCGGGACGGGCCCTGCAGGGCCCGTGTGGCTATGCAGTATGCCACAGAGCTGGAGGGAGACGACGAAGAAGAAGGATCCTCTCGGAGTCTTTTAAAGGTGGAGCCAGGATACTGACCACCGTAAAGGTGTGTCCTTGGAGCTGTGATGCAGGTGGAAGACGCCCGAAGACAAGCAGGAGCTATGGCGCCAGGTAAGTCTGCAGGTATGCCGCCCATAGCCTGGCCTCCGCCTCGATCTCGAGTCCACAACTCTGCCTACTCCTCTACTGAAGCAGTAGCGTGAGGACCTCAACCTCCTGCGTGCCACAAATGACGCTGGCCCAGCTATATATACCGCTGGACCTACTGCTGTGTAGCCACCTACGAAACAAAACAGGATCATGCTGAAATCTGGTGCCCAGTCTCATGCTAAAATCAAGAATTGGCACCCAAACTGAACGGAACTGGCGCCCAGTCACACGGTAAGATCAAGAACTGACGCCCGGCGAACCGAAAGGTACTGGTGCTCAAGAACTCTGTCTCGCCGAAGGAACGGCCAGTGGACCTGTTTCGGTCTCTACTCTCCTCAGAGTCTCCTGGCAGATAGACTCGGACTGCCGGGAGGAGCACTGAGCTTGACCGAACCAGGGACTGAGGCCGATGTGGAAACACGGCTAAGGCCCAGAAGGAACAATGAATCCCCTAATCCCCTAGCCAACCTCTAAACCTATGACCGGGCCCAGGGGGCCCTGTGGTTTACATGCCACACCTGGGCTGACCTGGGCTGACCTGGGCTGGGGTGGGTAGCCTGTGTTCAAAAGGGCGGCGTGTAATAGTTGTCAGCGTTGTCGCTTCCTTCAAAAGCGCTGCTGCATCTTTGATCTTCATCATGCCTCTCCGCAGATTGAAAGGTCAAGATGTGAAGTGTGTCGATGAAGATGTCCTTGACAGAGGCCAGCAAATGACAGGACGGCGTATCTTTGTATAATTGTCCTTCTCTACATCGCAGCTACTAAATTGGGAAGGGTACAGAGAAGATGTGAATGGCCCCCGCACAAGCATGACAAATCATGGCAGGCACAAATTGAGAAATGGGGACAAGCGTCACCATCAGTGTGTTATGGGACGCCACTGGGGACCCCGTTTCCAGCATGTGCAGCTCCCCAACCAAAGGAGAATAGTGTTTCTTCGGAGGAAGAAAAAATCAATGTAAAGCAATGTATGGAATGTATCCGTGCACCGACGGCCCTACCGTCTTCACCCGAATAGAACGCCCGGTCATTATAGCTGTATTTGGCACAACATTCCGTCCAGATGCAGCGATAATTACTGGGCGTTCTATGCAGGTGAAGACGGTAGCTCAATCGGTACAATCTGAACGCTTGAAATACAGAATCAAGTCCGTATCCAGATCAGATACCTTCCGATGAAGTGGAGTAATACATATTACTCTGTACTGCAGACTTTCTCTGCTAGCTCGCGCATAATTTCAAGGAAGGCTTAGGAAGCCATTTTGGCCGGCGAAGTAGCCAGAAAAAATGCACATATACCGGTTGGTTTATGGGGCAAAACAGGCAGTATGCAGGCACAGCAATCACAAACTTAAAGTGGGAAAGACGCCCATTCCACAACTGAACAGGCCAGTGCTCGGACCCGTGGAAAAACACCTACCTTTCACCCAGCTCCCAAGGGCCAAGTCCGACTGCACTCTTTGCTGAAGTCAAACATGTGCGATGATCCTGGTCAGCTCATATTGCAAAAGTCAAGAAGAGACAATGGCATTTAATTGCAATTTGCAACGAAAAGAAGAACGAGAGAAGGAGACAAAGGAAGAAGAAGAGAGGAGGAGGTCCCCGACTCCCTGAGGAGGAGGAGAAGATGAAGTCTTATACGAAGAAGACGAAGAAGACAAACACAAACTGGAACCAACTCCATCTCCCCTCATCTTACCCGGCCCTCATCACCGCCTCCAACATTTTTGCTTTTGTAGTAATAAATTAAATAATCATAAGCAACAACAACAAATGAATGAGCCAGAGAGGGAATGTCGGGTGACTCCCCCTTCAAGTTACTGCCAGCCTTCTAAAGAGCCTTCCTGTACCCTTGTACACTCGGTCCGTGTTTTTGTGGCATCTGGCTCTGCCACTCTGGTGGAGCGTAAATGCCCTCATGCCTTCTCTCCATCATCTACCTCCAACCCTACACTCCCCCGGATGAAGTCCAAACCCAACCGGTACCGCTTCAGGGGCCTTCTTGATGCAGCGCCAACCTCGGAGCCGAAGATGTGAGTCTGCCGCAGCCAAAAGGCGAGTCTCCTTCCCGATTCCCACCTCCTCGGACCCCTCCCTCCTTCTTCATCCTCTCCACTACTATGCATCCATAGCCTAGGACTACTCCCTCCTCTCCCTACTACACCTCCATAGCCAAGAAGGTCTTCTCCATCACCCTCCAGCTCCACCTTCCACCTCCAGGACGTCGGCCAGGTCTCCCTCTTGGCGGAGCAGCAGCATGACTGCCGGGTCGTTTCACATGGCTCAGCGCTTGCCCTCAGGGAACACCCACCTCTCAACACAAATCCTAGGCGAGCTCCATCCCCTTCCATCCCAACTCCCACGCCAGCTCCACAGCCTCCCATCCCAACTCCAGCCCCACTCTACGCCCCCACACTGGCTTCCAAACAGCAAACAGAAAACAGACAAAAATTGACCTTGAAAGTGCACATGCATCTCACTGACAGCGTGTTTTCAAACACAACGCACCCCACACCACAGCACACCTCACTTTCTTTTATACTAGGCGAAGGAAGGGCCCTAGACGTGGAGAAGGCACCTGTTCCCCGCCCTGACCCGCCCCGCCTCAAGGCCCATTCCCTAATCTTTTTTTTTTTTTTTTTTTTTTTTTGACAAAACAGGCAAAACTGAAAGGTTGATGGTCTGTGTGTGCCCGGGGGCTATGTGACCGATTGAACGCCCTGAACACGCGCTGTGAAACCGCGCGTTCATTGAA